CTGAAGTCGATATGGAGAAATCTTCAAAGAAGGCATTGGCCCACATTGGGCTGTCCGGCCAACTTTGATGATTATGATTAATTTATATTAAAATAATTCAGATTAAAATCTATAGATTAAAAGAAAATTAATGATTATAGATTTCAGACTGTCTCTTCAAAGTGTTCTTGTCTCATATTATAATTTTCAAAACAATGTGTAAAATCTAAAAAGATTGTAAAGACTGTAATTATTGCAGGTGGAGGGGGGGACACCTCCATGTATGCCACTGACTGTATCTTGAAGTATGAAATAAGACTCAAAAGACAAATTTGATACTGTTTAAAGGAATATATTAACAATGATTTGGCAAAACTAAAAACACACAATTTTCTACATAAATAACAATTTATACATATCAAACCAAAATGGTTTTTACAGTATTTCTAAACAATAATTATTGATTCTTGCTTAATTATCACAGATAATGTCATTAAACCATATTCAGATTTAACAACTAAAAGAGGAAGAAGAAAACATTTGTACAAGAAAAAAAGAATATTATCTTCAAAATTACGCAGTAGAGACTCTCCTTACAATTAGCAAACTAATTTCAGAAATTGTTCCATCTTTGAATAGTCTGACACATAATAATGAAACTTCTATCTATGTATCAAATTAATTGCTAAGTTTATTTTATTGAAATAAAATTTAAAAAAAAACCTTTGGTTTCTAAAATTATAATATGCCAAATTTGAAAATCGTTTTAAGTCTCAGAGAGTGATAAAAAAATGCTTCAAAATTTGAAAATACCGTAATTTCCAAATATAAGCAGAAGAGTATGTTTTTTATTTGGAAATTCACCCAAAATTCAAAACTCTTACATAAGTAGACGCAAAAAAAGGGCATGCTACGCTTGGAAATAAAAATTTACTCTTGTAATAATGGTTGCATAGTGGGCAAAAGAATGGACCTTCCGAATTCATAATTGGAAGATTAAAAATAATCGTATTCTTTTCAAAATGTTCTTATAATTTGTTTCTTTTTCAATTTTTATATTTAGGTATTCCATTTTCAACGATTATTTTATGTATTCTTATGTTTTGTATGTAGCTCTTACGGTATTTACTGATTACCACTAATTCTCACTAAAAGGGGAAGCATTTTTTTCGGCGATGTCCTCCAAGAATTTTTCAAAGGATTTTATTATAAGCCGATCCCTCAACTTCAGCTTTCGAATATTTTTAAGGAAAAAAAAATTTACATTTGGAAATGTACGATAATTTAAGTGTGTGACATATCAAAATTTCGGAAATTAAGCTTAAAAATTGAACGGCCACTCCTCTGGTGGCATATAATCAGGAAAATTAGATAATTTTGACTATTTTAAAATTCTAGACTTAGAACAAACTCTCTGAAGGTAATAACAGAGAAATTTTAAAAATCAAAATTCATTCATTTGTACTTAGCTTGTCATTTATCATAATGTTTTAAAAATTTTTGAGTTTTGCCCCTTGGGCAGATAGATAGGGAGTATTGTGTAGCCAACCTATACAAACAATATTAAATTAAAGGACATCATGGAATTTCTTAGACTATTGATGGAAGAATGAATATTTCATAATAATAGTTGATCAAAGAATGTCTTAATATTTGAGAGCTCATTAATTGTTAACTAAATATTTCAATGTTGGGCATATGTTGATTCCACAGTTACCTCAAAAAATACACAAAAGGTTGAAAAAAGTCTAATAAATACACAATTCCAGACTATTTTAAAGTTTTTCTATTAAAGAATACGATTTTACTATTAAATAAATGAATTTCTTTTAACAATCTATTTATTTAATCAATGAATATTTAGCATTTGTAAAGAAATTACACTTTAATAAAAAAATACAGTGTTCAAAAACTAACATTTCTTTATTTTTCAATGCAAAAATAAAGAGGAAAAAGCAATTAAGAATAAAATCCTTATAATTTGACAGAATTTTCCATATTGTCCTAGACAACCAATACTTGAAACTAACTAATTGATTTGGTATAATTAAGAATTTCAAGGCTCTAATAACAATTTTTATTTATCATACAGTAAAAAAAGGTAGCATTACTAATGAATATCAAAAAAATATTTATTTTACTTTTTGTGAATACTTTTAATAAAGTATAATGAGAAAAATAGTTGCAAGAGGGAAGAAAGTAAAAACATACTCAGTTAATGATTTTACAAAGCAGCTCTTTGAATAATAAAGTCTTTACAAGTTGACTCATTTACAAGAACAGTGTTATCTCACAGCATATCTCTTTAAATTTTCATCTGATTTTCTTCACGGAAACAAGGGGCAATCCAAAATAACTGGAGTTGATTGGAGAATTATTTTGAGAAAACTAAACAAAATATGATTAAATTTGGTAATAAAAAGACTGCAAAGAAGATGGCACAAAATTTTATACAGTAGGGAACCGATTATCCGGAACGATCGGGACCATAGCTATTCCGGATAACTGATTTTTCCGGTTTTCTGAATCGCTACAAAAAGCCGTTTTTTTTTTTTTTAAACCCAACTAAAAAAAAAAATTTTGGAAATAATCTTAAAAAGAAGAAAAAACTATGAAGTAATACGCTAATGATTATTTCCAAAATGATGGTAAGGTAAACATCTTTCAAAAAAGAAAGAAATATCCTAAAATCTTAAGAGGGAATTATTTTTTATTTTAAATTGAGGGAAAATTTATCGAATTTCGTTCCGGTTTTTTTGGTTTTCGGATTTCCAGATAACGGGTCCTGTACTGTATTAATAAAAAATGGTGGATTAAGAATTCAACTGAGAAAAAATTGTTTAATTTTTAAGGTTAACTTCAGTCTAATCAAAATATACTAACAATATAATATCATTATATGAAGCTTTATAAAATACCTTTATTTTTTATTAAGCTTCATATAATGACTGATTTTCAGTAGTAGTAAACAAACAAAAAAAAACTGTTTTAACTGAGGCATTAAATTAAAGAATTTTTTTCCCCTATTTATTTTTAAACAGAAAAAAGTACTTAAGACTGCTCCAGTTAAGAGCCTGTTTTTTATTGTACTAATGCCTACATACATTTAGTACGTTTGATAACTTGAATGAGTAAACAATTAACAAAAATGTTAAAATAGTTATAATAGAAATGTTAGAATAAAGTTTTTTGAAACTGATTTTTTTCAGACATTTTTCCAATTCTCCCCACAATTGATGAAAATATGGTACTTAAATACAGTTGTATTAAAAGGATTGCAGGATTTTAAATTGCATTAAAAACACAAAAGAAGAAATATGGTAAAAGATTTACGTATAGGAAAAAATTAAATTAAAGAAATTGCAATTAGAATTTTTTAGATCAAAAATAGTTCTTCGACTAAGAATACATTTTCATTGATTTTTAATCAGAAATCAATCACAATCACTTTATAAACAATAATGATAATAATAAAAAAGATAGCATGAACTTTAGAAAATAATGAAATAATTTTAAATAACAAAACATAATAATTATAATAAAAATTGCACATTTTCAGTTCACATTTCATGCACATCAAAGCAGTGTCTTTTTCATACAAATGCAGATTAGAAAAAATGCCAATTTTTCCATCTTTGTTTCGATAAAAAAAAAGAAGAAATAAAAAGTACAAGTAATAAACAAAATTTGCAATTCTGAGTAAATAACAATAAAAAATATAAAACTAAAAATGACTAACAATTTTATATACTCTTTTTAATAATCCAATTTAAAGTTTCAGTTCATAAACACATAATGTAAGTAGATATGCCCGAAATTCACTTTAAAAATCTATTTCTAGCATTGCCAGGTATGCCAACGTGTAGCGATCAATAGTAATTTTAGAAAAGAAATTTCAATTGATATTCTAGAATGTACAAATTTTAGACTGCAAGTTAAAACACTGAATTGGTATTTTAGAAGTTACATATACACAAAAATTGCAATAACATTCAAGAAAACAGTAGTCAAATATTGCTATTAATAAGTTTAATTTTCAGGTTTTAAAAACTTATATAGGTGTGTAAACCAAAGTAAGCATTTTTTTCTCATCAATCCAGTGGATTTAGTTTTCCTTTAAGTAAATATTGATATTATATAGAAAGTGAAAATATGTAATAAAAGGCTTAACTAAATTCCAAAACAAAACCTACAGCACAATAAAATATTCCTTGAATATAATATAAAGAAAAATACTGATTTTTTAAAAACATTTTTAATAAAAAAATTAACGTATTTTCCGTAATTGAAGAAAAATTTTGGCTATTTTTCTATACTAGGCATTTGTGAATTTTAAATAATCGCAAGATGTGAAAGCCATGGATTGGAATTTTAATTTAGTTTAAGCACAAGTAAACAAACACATTCTTTTAAGCATTAGTCAGAATGAAATAATTAACAATTATAATTTATAGCGAAAGATATTTAAAAATTACTCATTTTTCAGATGAAGAATTGAGCTGCAATGTAAATGCTTTAATCAAGGTTACGCAAAATCCGATTTTTTGAAATAAAAACTCTCACACATTAAATATGTATAATTCCATAACAATTATAACATTACATCAAGTGTCGTTGAAGACAGTATTTTCATGTTAGAAGCCTATATTAAAAAAAAAAAAAAAATGGCAATATGTGTATAATAAGATTTAAAGGAAAACATTACATAAATTATTATATATACAATATATATAAGTAAAATTTCAGGAAAATATTTTTAATCTAATCACCTGTTCTAAAATTAGTTAATTTCATTTCCTTTTAAATTATAAAAGGTAAAAATTAAAAAATGAACTGTGAAACATAATGGAATTTTTAAAATTCCTTCATGCTTCAAAAAATATAAAAAAATGGCACTATTATTATTAATGTTAAATGGCACTTGAAATTTACAACAAAACAAAGACATAATCAACAATGCAAATTAAGTAGGGGAAAAAAATGATAGCTTTTTAAATATCGCTTGAAAAATTAAACTCTACTAAATTTTCAAGAGAAAGGAAAAAATACACACACGAGAGCTGGTATTCGGAAACTGATATTGACAAATAGCTGATTTTCTCAACTTATTGAGCATCATAAAAGATTGGAAAAGGACTAAATAGAACACACAAGAAGTTTATTAGGCATATGAAAAATGGAAGTTTTCTGGCATCAAATCACAGTCCAATACTCTTTTAAAAAGCAGTAACAAAAAATTTGGCTTTCAGGTAAAAATGAAAAAAACTAAAACACAAACAGCCAACACAACAACTCAATAGCGGGATAAAAAACAATTAAATTAAAATCACAAATATATTTATTAACAACAAAATGTAATAAAAATTGTGCTACAGTTTGTCCAAGTAAATATTAACAGTAAAGAAAAAAAAAAACAAAAAAACTATGGCTCATTACATTAACATAAAATCTATAGAATTTTTTTTTCCAGATGACTTGAATGAAAAAGAAATTTCATAAATTAAAAACATCACAATTTTATCATTAGTTATGTACACAGCAAAATGAAGTTTTATTTCTAAATATATATGTACATATATTTATTCTTTTATATATTTAAATTCTGGCAGTACAGCCGAATTTATTATGTACAAATTTCATAGTTGTGTGTATAAAATTTAGAAAGTGCTTTGTTTCTTTCCTTGAAGCACCACTTAGGAAAAAGTCAATGTTTACTACTTCTCACTATACTGTCTTGTTTTTTTTATTTTTTTTTATCTGTTCTTTAATACATATGTACAATGAAAGAATGGATGGATTAAGATGCATCTCCACAAACTGCGTTTAAGTATGCAAAGTTGGAACACATTTTGAAAAGAAGAACACAATGTGGCACTATGTGGAAGATATGTTTATGGCTCACTTAGCATAAGATTTGTACAACACAGACTTGCGAATAGTGTCTTTCTCTTGCTCCATGAGGCACAGCAGATCTCGCATGTTTACTCGTTTCACACGGGGGCGAAGCTGCAAGGAAATATTTGCAACATTGTTAGTACAGGGTAGCCTAATTTTTCAACAAAAAATAAGCACCTTTTAAGCATTAAAAAATATTTTTAAGCACTATATACATTTACAAAATGCTAAATAATTTTCAAAGGCTTTGTATGATCATGATAAAATAACTAGTTTCTGACGAAGAACTCTTTTCTTGTTTACATTAGCAGGGGTCTGTCTAGGTTTTTCTGACAGGTACCTATTTTGTGAAAATTTAGACGTAATTTGTGAAAAATTAAAAATTATATTAAAAAATCAACACAAAAATATGGATTTATCGTTTCTTAAGGGATACAAAAATGAAATTTTAAGAAAAAGTATTTTGTGAAACTACCGTTTTTCCTAAAATTGAATTTGTGAAACTACCGTTTTTCCTAAAGTTGAATTTGTGAAGGTACCGCTAAACGGTAGTAAATTCGGCCTGGACAGACCCCTGATTAGCCACCATAAAACTATAGAGAGATTTTTCGGTTCAATTTCAGCGGGTGGAAAATGAAGTCTGAAATTGAGAATCTTTCGCAAAATGCAGAAGAGTCGCACATGATAGTGCAAGAATAATTCCCACAAGTTCAATATATGCACATGAGGACCCGAATATATTTAATCAAATATGTAAAATGATTGGAGCTTTCATATGCTACTGAACGACGGTACACTGAAATGAATTGTGAAAAACATTGAATAGAACTATGTAAAAACTACGCTTTTGCATAATAGATGGCGAAAATCGACATGGTAAAGGAAAAAATAAATCTCATTTTCAAAAAGGGAAAATTAAGCACTTTTTAAAAACGCCCAATGAAAAAAGCATCTTTAAGGGCTTTTAAAAAACGAAATTAAGCAATTTTTAGTACAGCAGACAGAAATATCTTCCTTGAAAATCACAATTGTGTGGTCACCATTTTTTAAAAGACGAAAATAAAAAACAAATTCCCTGTATTTTCCCACTTAGCAGAGAAAAATTAAAAATTCCCTGTTAGTTTTGGTGATTTTTAAATCCCCTGTATTTTCCAGGTTTTTCCTATTCTCCCTGCAGAGTGGAAGCCCTGTTTAATTCATATATTTCATTCAATACTTTATAGATATGCAACTAGAACACGCTACCTATTTTCGGTTTTAACTCTCAATTTTGTCAAGGACTGAAAACAGGCATCTGAAAGCATTATTCTAACCTTAAGCCACAAAAAATGCTTGTTAAATTTAGATCATTCCTGCATTTAAGAACCACACTGTGCAAAAAAAAAAAGAAGAAAAAAAAAAGGTCGAAAAATAACCACCTTGTGACTGAATTCTGGTCTGACTCAGAATTGTCTTTGTCTGAAACTAGAAGACCGAAAAAAAAAAGAAAAAAACGTCCTCAGATTATTTTACATGCTACTACATTACATATTAAAATTTCACTAAATTAGTGAAATAGTATTAAAGTTGTCACAAAACTTTTTAAAAGATGTCCATAAGAAAAACTTATGAGGGCTTCTGTAACAAGTTTGTAATTATAACAAAAGAATAATAGTGAAATAAAAAATGCTGCTAGGTTTCCTGATTGTACGGTTTAAAACAATTTGCGTCCTTTATGTTTAACTGTAACGTATACCTGCCAACATTAAAGAAATAAAATAACAGAGATCTTAATCGCTAAATTTTTTTTGGGGGGGGGGGCTATGAGTAAAGTTTTGATGCATCATGCTTAATCATGTAAGTCAAAATTGGAAATAATATAAGCATTTACATTCGGCAAAGTAAAAAATATGTATATAAATCTTATAGAAAATATTAAATGAGGAGAGAACATTTCAGTTTGAGTAAAATGTGAAATTTTTATAACAAATAATTGTAATAGATGTTAGAATTATTTAACTCTAATCTCAATAACTGATTACTGTTACTGACAATTTTAAGATTGGTTATTTTCCAGGCATAATATAGGAACATTCCAGGTTTTTGTAAAAAAAAATTGTAACTTTCCCTGACTATTTCATGATTTTTGGAATTAAAATAAAATTCCCTGACAATTCCAGTTTTTTTCCTGTTCTCACTGAACCCTTGGGAATACTGTTTCACTGAACAATAATAAAAAGTTTCAAATCTACAATAGAAATACAATTTCAGGAAAGAAACTGAAATAATTTAAAGTATTTAATGTTTACAGAATAACTATAAACATTAAATATCAAAAGGGTATAATCTAACTAAATATTCTGCTAAAATATATGTCTAAAGTTAAAATAATTTTTAAAAAAAAACAAATTAGGCATTTAGATATGAATAAATTCTACCAATTACACATACATTTTTGAAAATAAAACGGCAAAATTAAAATAATGAGTATAAATTTGATCACTAACCTGAAATTTAGAGCTACCAGTAAACTGACTCGATAAACCCTGAAAATTGAAAAATGTAAACTTTTAGTAACATTAATAAGAAAGTAAGAAATATCCTTTAAGAAGTGCTCTTTATTATTATTTTTATTAAAATTTTTTTTTACTTGATTTGAAGATGATAAACTGTTATCTAATTTCGCTTTTTTTCTTGGTCCTATAGCAGCCAAAGCAGTATTATTTGCTTCTCTGTGACGTAGTTCTTCTAGTTCAGCTCTTTGCATCTGGAAAAAATTCACAATTTAGAATTCAATAACAAATAATTTTATTAATTCAAACTGCAAACATCTTAGATTTGTTTCTCTTTTAACCAGATCGCCACCATAACAGAACCCATTTTTTAAAAAAACATAAAGCAGTGCAACAGACACTAAAATTTTAAAGTTAATAAAAATAAATATTAATATTTGTTCTAACTTACTTCTTTGGCTTTCTGTTTCAACTTTAATTGCTCAGGATCTTCTAGTTTTGACCGGCTCTGTCACAAGAAATAACGTAATTATATAATATAAATAAATTATTCATTATTTATATTGATATTTAGTCATTATTCATAGATTCAGGGTATCTGCTACATTTTAGATTTTCAAATCCGTGACTTTCCATGAATAATTCCAATAATTTTTCGTAACTTACCGAAGTTACTATTTTCTCCGACAAAAACACAACAATAAATTAAAAAAAAGCATTATAATAACATTAATTGAAATAATAGGCATAACCAAAACTTATACACTGCATCTTAATTATTGATTCTAAACTTAAAAAACCAAGTAAAGAAAGAGTTAAAACAATAAAATAGCTATATATACAGGTGGTTATCAAAATAATGGAAACACCCCAGATTTTGAAGGAATCCTTTATTAATATGGCGTAGGACCGCCTTTTGCATGCAAAACAGCTTGGATTCGCCTAGGAATCGAATCATACAAATTCTGAATAGTGTTTAGAGGAATATTGTACCATTCTTCATGGAGATATTGTGAAAGTTCCGTGAGAGATGCCGGTGGAGGATATCGATTCCGGATTGAAAGCTCTAAAATAGACCACAACGGTTCGATTATATTGAGGTATGGGGACTGTGCTGGCCAAGGTAGATGTTCCACTTCATCCTCATGTTCATCAAACCATGATTGGACAACTCTGGCTGCATGAATAGGGGCATTATCATCCTGGAAAATTCCATCTCCTGCAGGAAACAAAATTTGCATCATAGGATGGACCTGGTCAGCTAAAATTTCTCTATACTTCTCCCCAGTGATCCTTCCTTTCAGGGTTACCATTGGGCCAGCAGAAAACCATGACACGGCTGCCCATACCATGACCGATCCACCTCCATGCTTGACAGTTGGATGGAGGCAATCAGGATCATACGCTTGTGCAGGTGTTCTCCAGACATGTACCCGTCCTGTTGTGGGGAAAAGTGTGAAAGACGATTCGTCTGACCATATAACAGTCTTCCACTTATCAATCGACCAGGATTTGTGGTTGGGGCACCACTCTACACGACGTTTTGCAATAGCATCTGTGACAAGAGGCTTGGGAATTGCTGTTCTGCCGTAAATGTTCTCTTTATGAAGGTATCTCCTAACTGTAATTGTTGACACTGGAGAATCCAGATGCTGATTGAGCTCTGCGGTCACTTTGGCTGCAGTTGTTTTCTTTTTAGACATTACAATCCGCTTCAATACCCGTCGGTCTCTTTCACTCAGCTTCTCCTTCCGTCCACTATTTTGCTTTGATGAGCTTGTCTTTCCGCGCTGTGTGTATGCTGTCATGACTTTAGACACCGTACCTCCAGAAACGCCTAAAAGCTGGGATGTTTCGGTCACTGTTGCTCCAACTAGTCGGGCTTCTACAATTTGGCCTCTCTGAAAATCTGTGAGGTCTGACAGCTTCTGACAAAACATAGACAACTCTGCTAAAGCTCTCTCATACTACCTAATATATGTACATTTTATATTAAAAAAAACTGGTAGCTAAGATTATATTTTAATTCTTATGAAGCGAATTCTTAAATGTCCCTTTTATTCACAAGTGTTTCCATTATTTTGATAATCACCTGTATACATATATATATAAATAAAAAACACAAAAGCAAATAACTAAATACAGTCAAATATATGTAGTTATTTAAACCTGTTTTATTTGCTCTTAAAAGTGTAATATAGAAAGCCTAAACTAGAATTTTAAATTGATAAAATAAAAATATAATAATAATAAATTGATAAAAGAAATTCTGAAATCACAGAAGTTTAAAAGGTACTCCGTTCTAGAAATGATGTTCTTTCTGTCATTTTTTGAAAGAACACCTAAATTTTTAAAGAACAGGATACGAACATTTCGTATTTTAAAAAAATATGACTATGAGTGGGTATTTTGCTACAAATTCAGATATTCGGAGCACTGTGAAATTCTGATTTTATATTTAATATTCCATTTTAAAAATTAGATTTTCCGGCGACCTAAATCCATGAATTTCCATGATTAAAAAAATAAATAAATAAAAGTTAAAATCATGACATTTTATGACAAATTTTGTCATAAAATGTCCATGAAATCCCACCGAAATCCATGAGTTTCCGGGTGTGCAGATACCCTGTATAATTAAAATATCATAAAATTCTCCATATTTGCATAACACTAAAAATGTAAAAAAGGAAAATAATTAACTATTTGAATCAAGTTAACTGATAAACATGTAACTGAAATAACATAAGTAACTTTTATAATAATAAAAAGACATCTAACGATTTCTACTAGTATTAAGTATTCAAAGAAGAAATTTCATAAGTATATAGATCATTGAGATTTTAATTTACACCAAAAATGTTTTAAAAACCTTTGCAGCTCGAAGCAGGATTTCCCTTTCTTGCTCTTCGTGCCTCCTTTTCTCCAGTCTGTCTAATTCTTCTATAAATTTTATTTGAGATCTCACATCTTGGACAACTTCATACCTATTATCATTCTATAATAAAAAATATCAAGATGGTTTTTAAAATAATAAAAACCATTAACTAAGTTCATTCATGATTAAAAACAGTGAAAATAGTACTACAGGGCAGCTATAAATATTCAGGAAAAAAAAAAATCCTGACTAATTGTATCGAATTTTCCTGATTTATTTCACTATAAATTCTTATACAGAAAATGTATTACATAATATTTATACTTAACAGCAAAAGTTGAAAATATTTTTTTTAAATAAAATTATCACAAGATTCACTAAAAAAAAAAGGATAACAAAATCAAAATAATTATTTCCCCATGACTTTTGGGGTATTTTAATTAAACATCCTGATTTATCTAGATTGATTAAATTTTCCAGGCATTTTTTTTATCCCTGTTCAGTTACCACTTGTATTAGCTCTCAATGTTAAGCAATTTAAATAATTAAGAACAAAAATAATATTTATATTTGGTAAGTTATTAATAAATAATAACATCCACAATTTGTAAATAAAATTTATATCAAGTTTTTGTTTAATAAACAGGTGGATCCAAGAAAATGAAAATTTCATAAATCTTTAGGGGAAAAAACCCCCCAACAAAAACCAACAATACATCACTTCTATAATAAGCTCAAAGAAACATTATCTTTAATTTAGGTAAGACATTATCAATCTTTCCTAACATAAAATTACATTAAACTAAAGCATAGTATTAGGGAAGATTATACCTTAAATCAAAACTCATCATTCTTAAAATAGGGTTCCCTCTTTATTTCATCAAAAAAAAAACAAATAATAAAAAAAAATGCCATGATTTTTTCAGATATTTCAGGAAAATTTCAATGTAAATCCAGACAACATTTTATTGATATGATAATTTTTATTTATTATGTCAAATATATAACCTTATATTTATAACCTATATTTATAACCTTCTTCTTCCTAATCCCCAAAATTAGCAGGGCTAAACAATGTCCATGAAATTCATGACCCGGAGGAAGTCGGCCACAAAAAGTGGGTTTTCTAGAATGTCCCTCTTGTCCAGTCCAAGACAGTCCAGGATATGTGGGGGAGAAGCCTGCATGTTGTGGCACCTGGGGCAGTTTGGGAAGATTTTAACACTACCCTCGAAAGAAAGAGACTTAAGGTGGCCGCTGGTAAGCCTGATAATCGGCGTCTGATCCTTGCGGTTGCACCGAATGTTGAGTGCACCTCCTGGACGGGTGCTCTGGTACCAGTGATGTTTGGGGGGTACGGGCCAGGAAACATTGTCTTCTTTTTTCTTTTTCAATGCCAATTCCATGAAGGTGAGTGAATTTGGACTCATCAAAGTTTCTTCTGTCCCCTCCTTAGCCAGAGTGTCGGCGATATCATTGCCCAGAACCCCAACGGGAGAAGGGATCCACTGGAGATGGACTTCACACAGTTGTGAGAGGGTTTTAAGTTTGTGCAGGATAGAAGCTCCTGTTTCGTTTCTCACCTTCCGACAATGCGATAAGTTCTGTATGGAACTGAGACTGTCAGAGAGTATCCAGATATTGTTGTGATCCTGTAGTGTTAGAAGAGAATCCAGGGCAGTATCAATAGCAATGAGTTCACTTCTAAAAACTGAGCAGTTATCAGGGTTCCTTTTGGTGACGTTAAATCAGTAATTAATTGATTTAATGCAGACACCGCTGCCAGATGATGTGTCCGTCTTGCTTCCGTCTGTGTACACCAGTATTAAGTGTTTGGGGATAGAATTTATAACCTCCAAAGAAAGTTGTTTAAGCAATACCGGGTGATCCAATTTCTTGTTAGCTTGTGAAGAAAGGTGTTGATGGAGATTAACACCTGGAAGTTCTTCAGTTGGGTCAATAAATTGTTTATTAAGGCAATCCTCAACATTTCCAGCAAGAACGTTGTTAATTACGGCCTGGCGAAATGGGCTATTCTTCTTAAGTCTTTGGTTGCTGTTCCACCTTTGTAGATAATCTGCTGTTCTGTTTTGGTGTCCAAGGCTAGAGAGTTTATTAAAGTAATTAGTTAGGAGATAATTTCTTCTGAGACCTAAAGGCTGGAGGTCGGCCTCAAACAAGACAATGTCATTTGGGCAACTGTTTCTGAGTCCAGTAATTATGCGATGTCAAATATTAGATTTTATGAGCAAAAAAAATAATAATAAATAAATAAATCATTGAATGAGGATGGAAACATGGAAAAGTTTCCCTATATCAATAGAGGAAATTTTACAACAAATAATTTTAATAGATATCATAATTATTTAAATCGAATCTGAATAACTGATTACTGTTACTGACAATTTTAAGATTGGTTCTTTTCTAGATATGACTTAGGAATTTTCCAGGCTTTTGCAATAGAAAAAAAAAAAAAAAAAAAAAAAAAAAAAAAAGAAGAAGAAAAAAGCAACTTTTCCCTTTTTTTAGAGTCAAAATAAAATTCCCAGACAACTACAGGTTTTCCCTGATCCGTGGGAGCACTATCAGAAATAAAATAACTTGACAATGGAAAAAGATAAGACTTAAAATAAACTGGAAGAAAATGTACAGAAACACAAGTGTGTAAAAAAAAACATTTTGTACTCAGCATTCTTCGAAATATTTTAACAATTTGGGGGAAAAATTAGGATTAAAAGCAAGCAAAGTAAAATAAAAGAAAGAAGACTTCAAAGTGAGTAAATATACCTTAATGTTTTCCATTCTATGCTCAGAAATTATACTCAATTTTTCTATCATTGTTTTTAACCTTGTTTGAGATGCATGAGATATTAAGTTGATAACATCAGGAGAAACTTCTTCAATACCCAGTTTTCTTGCTGCAGGAAAGTACATATGTAAACAATTTACTATAAAGGATGTATCATGTATACACACACATATATAATATATACACATTCATATTAATTAACACACTCAGGAAGAAGCAGCAAAATTAATTTTTTTTACGACATAATTTTAAAAATAATATTGATACATGCCATTGCAAGTTAAGAAAAGACCATTGTGGTATAGGATTTAAGTAATCATCCGCGATTGCATATAGTTTTGTTGTATTTTGTTATCAAATTATACAAATATGCTTTCAAAAAAATTTAAAAACTTTTAAAAGTTAAACATATCAAACAGAATTTTAATTTGTGCTTTCTTTTACAATATATATAAATAGAATTATAGAAAAAAGGTTACAGTTTTAAAGCCTTCCTAAACTCCTAGACTTGGCAACATAATTTAATAAATAAAGAGAACATTCCTTCTTGAAAAAGAAACAACTATATGACGTTTTAAGAGAATCGGACTTGATTGGACAACTAAAAATGGTGCATCTAAACAAATCAAATGAGAGATAAGAACTTTTACTTTTGTTTCGCTGTAAATCGTCTACAAGAAAATGCATTTATTTTTCTTTCATCAGTTTCTATTAAATGTGGACAGAAAGGCGTATATTTGTTATGATTTTTAGGCATAATTTTTATTAATTCTTATTACTTGTTAATAACTGTTATTATTATTCATAAGAACGCAAGCAAAAGGGATTCTGAGCAAATCGTTCAAGAGTTGGCAATATTGATAACGGTTCAGACTGGGAAATTGTCATCCATTTGGTGTGCTCTCAGATGCAAACAGGCTCTCTCCATAGGAATAATGGTTTTTTCTTACTTGCAGCAGAGTATATATTGGAAAGCTACATATCTGGAATCGGTGGGACTTCCGGAAGTCCGTATAATAGATTTTTCCGTATAATAAACCCCCAAGGTAAACAAAGCTTAAAACCATCTGAACATAAGGAACAAAAAATAAATAAACATTACTTTTCGGGCAATAATGTTTTAGTGTTAGAATAATATCTAATCAATAAAATAAAAATATTACTGCTTAAAATGTAGAAAACGGAACGTTCATTGAAAACAACCACAAAATTGCAAAATGGAAGTTTGTTAAATAGAAGCCCGATATATATATATTACAGATAAACTATCTGAATCAAAACATTGAACGTTTGTTCAATGGGATTCTATAAATAAAAAAAACAATGGGAAGAGTTGCTTTCAATTACAATAAAGAGAGATATTTAGTTTGTTTGAACATACCAATTAAACGTATTTTCTTTTCTAAAGCAGATGAGAATAAGAAGCTTTCATCTTTACAAGATCTGATTTGTGTACCCACTATTTCTGCATTGGAAGCTAGAATTTTTTGGCTCTCCTCAATTAAATTAACACCACCCATTGCAGCCACATCATTTATATCATCATCCTCTCTGGAATAAAATTAGATTTGGTAAAAACATTTATTTGTAAATTACATGTACTACATGATTCATTAATTAATAAGCATATGAAAATGCAATTTATTGAAAAATAAAAAGTTTAAAGCATAACAATTTATATATTTAGTACTTTATTCTAATAATAACTAATACCATGCTATGTATTTCAAATCAAATATAATAAATAAAATTACAAGAAAAATTTTAAACTCTTGCCTGTGTTAAACAGTTTTCAAAAAAGTTATAGTAAAATTAATCAAAAAAACACTGTTATAAAAAGCGATGCGATAATTTTTTAAAAATTTTATTAACATTAGCTTTCTTTTTCTCTATAATCAAAGGGCATGTCATATGATTCACAAGGATTGTGCAAACTGTAGTCGTTTATGCTAATCCAAGTAGGAATATATCAGCATATCAACAGTTGCTTACTTATTTTGCCGTAAGCTTTGTTTAATTAATTATCTTACTAACAGATACAAGAAAAATGATAACAAATGCAACCCTTCTTTAAAAATATCTTTGCCTCGTTATCAACTAGTTGTATACTAATCCGTAAAAAAAATAACTAAATCCACAGCTTTAACAGAGAAAAATGTATTATTAAGAAGAATAAGTTCAGTTGAAAGAGATTGTTTATCACAAATTTAGTTATTTGCTCAGAAAAACCACATACAAAACTTAAAATATTAAAGTAAGTAAAGGAAATAAATTGTTGCACCAACAAAATTTTAAACTTGAATTAAAAATTTAGGATTAACAATGCAGCTTGGGATGCTGCACTATTTTCACACGAAAACCGACGTTAGATAATCAAACCGTGCAATTTCAGATATTAAAAAGGTTGAAAATCCGACAAATCAAATTGGTGAAAAAATCACGTGTATAAAATCGTCTTGTTACAGTGACTTAGCAAAGGTTTCAAGATTTAAATTTTAGGTAAATTTTACCCCCTCTGGATTATTAGTTTTGATTCATAGAAGTCTGTGGATCAATAATCTTGAGATATGCGGAGTTATGCGAAAAAATGATATAACGGATCCAAAATAGTGAAAATCTGCCAAACCAAATGAATCAATTAGCGGATTCCTGCCCATCGGAAGAAGAACCACATGTATGTAAGTGTCCCGTTATCGCGAATCAGCGAAAGCATCAAAATTTGGATTTTAAGTTGAGGAATTCCATGAATAGTTAGTCGGATTATAAGCTTTTGATTAGCGAAAGTCTGAGAACCAACGGTCTTGAGAAATTCCGCAATATTCCAAGAAAAATCATATGCCCTGCTCTTCATTTTTTCACCCAGAAGGATAATATGAAAAACCCAGAATTCCGGGATACCCCCGGAATACAATTACTCTTGGTACTGTAATCAGCAGAAATATACCACACAGATTTTTAAGAATTTAAGCATTTGACAAACTGAGAAATATTGTATTCTATAATTTTTCAAGACCTAGAAATCAATAGGAAAAAAATATTAGATAGTTTTCAAGGCAATAAGTAATTGAGAAAGAACAACAAACCTGAGAGAAGAGAAAGCTCTTTTTCCTTGGTCCTTTGCAGAACTAATGAATGCAGGTTTTGCAGTAAAAGGAAACTTAGATTGCAATGCAGTAACCGTCGCTGGTGAGGCTGCAGCAACAGATGAGCCGACAAGTGTTTTTCCAACCAATATACTTTTGGATTGGTTATTAGGAACAGTAGACCTCAGTTGCTGAAATGATATGCAAATAAATCTCATTCTTCCAGTCCAATCAAAGTTAATTATTATCTTTCAAAAATGAGGTACATTTACAAATACCAATTATATGCCATATTGTTTTTAAAATTTAGCTTTAATAATGTGGTTTACATGCAAAGTTATTCATAATATATCATACCTGTCAACATTGGAGAAATAAAATAACTGAGTTTTACTAGCGAAATTTTTTAGGCTACGAGCAAAGTTTTGATGCATCATCAAGTCAAAAAGAGAAATTCAAAATAATATAAGCTCTTACATTCTGCGACGTAAAAAAATAGGTATATAAATCTTTATATAAAGAAGATTTCTTTAGAAACATTATATATAATTACTTAAATTATTTTATTTTACAACCGTCGCTGAACAGCCAACCCAATTTTGGGTTTATGACTATTAATGTTCAACTCTGTAGTATTGTAATTTTGAACCCAATTCAGAAGACAAGGGAACTCTTGGATCAAGTACTGGGAGAAATTTATCTTCGTGGAGAACTTTTTGTGAGAACTAACCCTCATTTGAGTTACATGGAGAGGGAAAAAAACAAAAACCTCCCACGGTTAGCCTAACAGCAAGGGGACTAACCCGTATTCAACCACTGAGGATATTTAAAGTCAGAACTGTAGTCGGTACAAGCTGGACGTGGAATTCGTATCGACCAGTCATCACTGAGATTTGAACCCGTTTCACCTCATTGGAAGGCAAACGCTCTATCCCCCGAGTCATCACAGCTTGACTTAAGCTATTAACACTCAACATATTGCAGTACTGGCAATAGCACCATCTGTGGAGGGATAAGAGAAGTATTTTTGCCCTCAATGAATATTTTATCACCAAAAACTTTTTTTTTAAAAATTTCTTTAACAAATACGGAGAAATTTAAGAATACATAGGCATACAGGAAACAGTCGTAAAATACATTCATTAAAAAAACAGCAGACTAGGCAGGTATATATTCCCAGAATTCCTGTAAAAAATAAGTTTAAAAAAAATGCACATTAGGACAAAAGTGCTATCGAAATTTAACATACGATTATTAAAGAAGGGGAACTAAAAACTTAAATAATCATGTCTGAGTATCACAGAAAAGTTTATTAGAAACACCTCTAGGATTTTTTTGAAGACAATCAAACTGGTTTTGCTGTTTTAAATCAAACCTTCCTCACAAGTCATTCGATAGCATTAATCACTTCTCTTAAATATTAATCCCCACAATTTCTATGTAGACTTTTAGATTTCATTTTTGAGACTGACTTAAAAAATATATATTAATTTTGGTTATTATGGAACACACTGAGCATTTTTTATAAAAACATAACACACAATTAAAGAATAAATAATAATAAAAAAAAATTCTTACTTACCCCAGCAAATCTTTGATTTAGAGTTGTTGTGTTTTGTGTGATAAGTTGCGTTGTGAGTGGTGAACCAGAGTTTGTCATAAGGCGTACTTGAGTAGTGGGTTGTAAGAGAGGCCTCTTTTGTCCAAGCTAACCATTCAAAAAAGTATAAATAAAAAAAGTGTTACAAATTAATTGTCTTCTTATAGAGACATAGAAAGTTGGAAATTATATATATTTAATTATCCAATAGAAGAATCTTAAATTAAACACAGAATCATTTAGAGGTTTTAACATAGAAAATTTCGTGACATTAAAAAGCTTAAAACCTACATAAGACACGAACATAGGTCTTTTACAACTTTATGTCATAATTAGATTCTTTTTTTATGTGCGTGTGTTATGTGACAGGCCTCCTTGTGGTGCACCATGGGTAACACTAAATTTGTTACAGCATTGCCTCGTTTCTGTTCATTCTTTTGAACATTTAAAAATTTGCCTTTCCCATAAGAAATTCCCCAGCCAAAAAGAATAAATTTTTAGACCTTGTTAAGGAAATCAATTTACTGAGCATGCTTTCGTCTTCTTGACTGGAGATTTCCATGTTTTTCTTGAATTCTATGAAAAAAAATTATATAAGCCATGCCTATAGCACGAATCAGATTTATTGCATATTAAACAATAGAAGAAAGATACCCTAGGGACATTTGGAGGCATGTCTACATGGATGGACCCATGATGACACGTGTTTGGGCAATAATATTTTGCATTTTATGAGTCAGGGGGAAGAGACACCAACAGTTTTTATGTCCAAGTGGAAGCTATTTTCTTAGTTTTAATTAAGTTCACATAAGGATGACTTCTCTCATGCTCTCATTTTTTTTCAATAGTTACGATATTTCGATAGGTTTACCAACAATAAATCTTGCAGTTTTTATAATTTTATTTATTTATTTTATATATTATCAATACAAATTTTAGGGCGCATAGCCAAATCTTTCAAAAAAAAAAAGGCCTTTTAAGTACTTTTTAAGCACTAAAAATATTTTTAAGCATTCAACACAGAACTCAACACATTGGATGCATGAGGATGAGGAAGTATGATGACACTGGGTGAAGGGGGTCGAACACCTTAGATGGTCAGTTCTCTTGTAATTAATGAATGCCTTAATTAAGGCAGATTTTTCTGGAATTAAGGAATCAATTTGTAAAGAATGAGTTAACTACCTGAAGATGAGTTAAGTTGGATGCATGAGGATGAGGAAGTATGATGGCACTGGGTGGAGGGGGTCGAACACCTTCAATGGTCAGTTCTTTTGTAATTAATGAATGCCTTAAATAAGGCAGATTTTTCTGGAAAAAAAAACATTTCATTGATAAGACTAAAAAGATATATTGTTTCATCTTTATATAAATTTACTTCATATTCATAAAAACAAGTTAGAAATTTACATATTACTTATATTTTTATGCGGATAAAGAGAAAAAATTTAAGGTAATCATAGATTATGAAGTTAATCAAGACTTATGAATGAGAAAGGCAACTAAAATGAGATCATACTTTAAGAAAAGGAACTAAATATGGCTGAGGTGCTGAGTTCAACTCTTTTTGTAGCTTTGATGTGAACTCCTCTGCTTGCATTGTGCCATCCTGTATAAATAAAATTCATTATTTAATCAATTTAATAATGTTATGAGAAACACTCTTTAACCAAATCAGAGTCATTAATAAATTTTGATCAATATAAACAAGGAAAAATACTTTTAATCTTTAGTAAAAGTGACAAGAAAAATAATATTGACAAACACAACTGGAACATTATGTATTTGAAAAATACAGAAAAAAATATTAAAAGAAAAATTGCAATCAATGCTTGAACAGCAACTGGTTTTTAAAGCAATTTATTACAGTATAAAGCTGACAAAATATTGTAGTGCATAGTTTTTTTTATAATTAATTTTAACAGTTATAAGTTCCTTTAAAATTATTTAATGGTTATTAGCTATATTTTGACTAAAAAAAATATAATTAAACGAAGTCAATGATTAAGTAAATATATCATGCTGATCTTGTCATGTAGTATGCATAGTTGCCAATATGGATAGGAAAAAATCCGTTAGATTTCACGAAATATAAATTTCATGCACACTGTTGCATAATATACTAAATTATTTTACACATAAGGAATTTTATTATATTAATATCGATAAATGGTCTGCAATATTTTCCATTTATGATTGATATTGGATGAATTTTAAATGTTTTTATTATGTTAACTCATAATTTTAAATAGTAGTAGACAAGTAATTCATTATTGATAATTAAAAGATTTTATGATTATAAAAAAGGGAGTTCTGAATAAAAATAAACTGAAAATTGTGGAACAAAGGAAAAGAAAGAAAATCGTTAAATTGATTCCTATAGGTGAGACTCGCTTCATTATGTATTAGCAATACTTATTTAAATATTCAAGTAAGCAATTAATTGTAAAAAAAATTCTATTTCAATAGGGATGCAGTTCAAAAAACTTACTCAATTTTAGGGAATTTTCTAAAATGTACAAAAACCAGGAGAATTTTTATTACACCAGGAGAAACAGACAAGATCCAGTAGAGTTGTCAGTATGTGTTTTTGTTAGATATTGTAACGCATCGAGATAAAGGTGTTTTGAATAACTAATACGCTTTGTTGTAGCATCTTTTAATGTGTTCTTAGTATTGGACATTAAATAGGTAATATACATAGAGCTCGTGAAATTAAATAATAGTGTTTCAGCCCCCATGGCAGAATAGCAGTAACATGGCGACATTGTCGCAGAATGTTAAAGAGTTCTTGCAGAAAGATTTTTCAATTGAAAGGCAAAAAATTATACTTTTCTTTGCTACAGTAATTTACACATAATATTTAAATCATGCATTTAGATAATCACTTTTTGACATGCTCAATTTACGTCGATAATATCGTAAATGGATGTAATGCTTCGATTGTATTTTTTGGTAGTTATCGATTTTCACATGGTTTTTAAATATCCCGATATAAAATATAGAAAATTCGAACCGTGCATTTAAGTATTTACTTCTTAAGGCAATAATTGTATCAAACTTTAGGCATTTATTGCTATTGCTCCTTAGTTTTTAAATTCAATATTTTTTACGATATTATTTATTACAACAACCTAATCTCGAGACAAAACACATATTTGAGGAGTACGATTCGCATTATTTTATCGTCGATCTTTTTTTGGCAATTGCTACTACGGATTTTATGATTTTTAATTATTTTCATTGTAATGATTATTTACAAAATGCGAAGGAAATAATTTGCAAGCCCCCCCCCCCCCNCATAATATTAGAATAAAAAATTATCACATGCTCAATTAAAAAAATATGTAGTTTTCTTTTGTGAACACAAGCCCTTTGTTATTTTAAATTAGTAACATATACGTTTGTTATTATTAAAAGTATCTGGCAGAAAGATATCAGTGCTAGTAAGTTTTGTCGCAGATAGCTCGAAACAATTCTGCCACAGGGGTTTCAACAAAAAGAAAATATTGTGCTACAAAAAGAACAAAAAACTCTAAATTAAATTATATAAAAATGTTAGATAAACTAAATGCAAATATAGAAAAGAAACATTATCAAATAACTTACAATTATGCCTTGAATTAGATTACGCACACTCTTTGCAACAGCAGCTGGTTGTTCATCTGCTAATCTGATCAGAGTTGATAAAAAATTCTTGCATTTTTGTTTTGCAGTGTTGGGAGACATCTGAAAAGTTATGTAAAGAGTAATAATATTAATAAAAAAGATGATATACAAATGTGTCTAAATATATAGAACAATGAATCTAAAAAATTAGTTAGCACTTTCATCATGGCAATGACGCGACTTTGTCCCCACCGTCTGCATTAGAGTCCCCCCCCCACAGAACTAAAATTGAAACCAAACGCAAATTCCTTTGAAACTTGTTTATTTTACTTACCACAAATAAACAATAATCAAACAATGTAATATAACCAAAATGCAATGTAATATTATAAAACAATAATGTAATAGAGTCTTTATGGTTATATGAGAGCGTATAAATTCAGAAATATGGTGGATTTATCAAAAGATAAATTGCAAATGCAAGTTCTGCTACAAGAATTGATAAATCATATACTGGTAATTGAAGAAAACATTCTAAAGTCTTGGTTATTTTTAAAGAGAATAATTTTTGTTGTAAAATATATAAACTGCACAAATTATACAGTTACTAATTTTTCTATGTTTTGTAAATATTTCAGTCAAGTGACCTACAACTATATATTAATACAATTACCACAAACTACTGATAGGTTTTTTCTTCGAAATTTTTTTTACAGCTAAATAAACAATTTATTATTGGATGGTAATCAGAAAAACCAAAAATATTTTAAATAATGTGCAACATAGCACTGATAAACACAGTTCAATTTGTACAAGTTACCTCGTTCTTTTAACCTTGGAATCTCTGAAAATTCATTCTAACAATAATCATAGCGAAGTAAAATTCGAAATACTTTTTCTCTTTTATCTCCTACTCCCATTCCAAGGGGGAAACAGATGCATGCCTTTTTATTACTTAATAAGAAGTCTGCTCGCTTTCATCAATAAGTTCCTGTTTTTTCAACGTTTGATATAGATGACTTGAGTAGGCTGGTGACAGCTTATTTGCCAAGATGGCTTTGCCGTGTCGAGTTTATCCAGAGTTTCCAAAAGAATTGTCCCATCAACCAATGGGAAACTTTCATTGAGTTCTTAAGAATACTCCATAACGGAAAGTAATGTTTTTTTAAAAATTGTTAACAAGCAAATAAGTTCTTCTGTGAATTCTGATGCAAATTTAACTTAGAACAATTATGATGCTATCAACTCCAAATGACCCACCTCCTGATTTTCGGATCGTCACTGTAGTTATGCAACAATAAGGAACTGTCATTTCAAATCCAATACATTTATTTTGCTCTTGGTATCAATATAAGACCGAAAACTATACTTGTTCTCCAATGTGTTACAAATGAACATAATTCAAGTTTCAGGTTATATATTTTTAGTGTTTAGTTCTACAACAATTCATGAAGTATTAACTAGTGCAGAGTAAAAACCTGTTTCTTGCTTTTGTTTGCATGCATGATGAATGCACTGCTACTGTGTGATCTTGTACCTGTTTTAACAAAAAGTCAATATATTATTCTTTAGAAGAGATAATTTATTTGGTTTAATTCTCTGCTTGTTTATTCCATTGTTTTAATTCATAACATAATCCAAATTTTTTTTAAATATCACCTTAAATAGTTAACTCACTATGATAAAATTGGTTTAGTTTTTGGCATAGCTTAAGATCTCTGCACTTTAATTTTTAGTTATGACACACAATGGTCTTTAAAATCCAACGCAACAAAAAAAAAAATTTTTTTTGTAGCAAAACTAGGTATTTTGCATTCCCCAATTTTTAAATAGTATAATTTTAAAAAATATGAGTATTACTATTAACTAATGTATGTAAAAAACAAAATATTCAATACGTAAAGAAAAATATTAAAAGAAAAACATTAAAATATACTATTCTATTCTGAAAGTGTAAAACACATTACCGTTAAAATGCACACTACCTCATTAATCCTGTGAAGTGCGGAATTGAGTGTTTTTCGAAATTTACCTCGCGGAAATGAGTGCATTAACGGTGCATGAATCATTAAAGTTCAAAAGTTTGTTTTTCTCATTCTATCAATCGATTAGTTGATTGTTCAATTACATTAACTTAATTTTTTAGATAGCCAAAAATAAATCAGCATAATTACGTTCATTTATGCGTACAGAAGAGTTTTTGCTGCAGCAAAAATCTTATTTGTGGAATTTATAAAATAACTATGATAGAATGTCTTTATAAAAGACGAATAAAAACATATAATATTTGAAATATCTTACTTGTGTTGGTGTATTTGGCTGAGTGTTGGCAGAAGTTGTCTGAACAGAAAGCGGTGCAGTCAGACTGCCATTTACTCCTGTTTGCACAACATTATTGAGAACCTTCAAGAAAAACATGTTTGATTATTTACCTCATATATATCAAGAAATGATTAGCCAACTAATGCTGAAATTAGTTTTAATCTAATTTGATACAAAATATAATTTTGTAAATTATTTTAGCATCAAGAATCTTCATAAAAAAAAATTCTAATGCTAATAAAAGTTTAAATTATAATAAATTCTTCTAAGAATTTATTATAATTTTAACTTAAATTATTGGCAGTTTGGGCAAAACTATTTATACCTAATATTAGATGAATTTTTCATTTCATAAAAAAAAAATCAATACCCATAATAAAATAAAACATAAATTAAAGGGAATAATAAAATCAATCAATGTTAAAAGGGGGCATGGGTGCTACGCAAAAAAAAAAATTCAAGACTTATTTTTTGATCAATTAATAAGGACTAGTATTGTTTACCAGAATTTCCAAAATTTATAGCTCACTGACTTCCAAATGTAACTTTCCATGATCATAATGAACTAAGAATTTATTATTTTATCAAAGATATTTTTTTTCATTCTATTTATTTTTTTACAGCAAACAAAAATAAAAATGATTAATTAAATAAAAACAAATGGGAAAGAGATAAATGGATAAAATTTAGTCTACTGATTTCTTCTTAAAACTGATTTCAGTCCCCATGACTGAAGAGTGGTACCCTTTCGAGAAAAACAAAAAGAACTGTGTCAATTGTGGAAAGATTGTTTGAATTACTTCCAAATTGTTGGATTCTCTTCTTTAGGCAGTCCAGAAAATTACCCGCTATTTGATAATCGGTGATTGATATTCCAAAACCAACAAAAACTCATTTTCGTAAAAATGTTTAACATTAATCGCTTCAATTATACTCAATGTTAAAATTATTCATTTTGAATCCTCATAGCTAATTACTGTTACATGCAATATTCCATGATTTCTTGCACCAAAATCAAATTTCTTGATAATTTCAAGCTTTCATAGACTTTGATTTTAAAAAAGGGGAAGGAAAAAAAAAACTTCTGTAACTTTTATAGAAAAATCTAAAAAAGCAAAAAATGTTTTTCCTACAATAGCAACATTGAATTTGGTAATGCCCAAATTCTTCTAAAAAAAATTAAAAATAATCATTTTTAATCCGTTGTTTTTATTGAATTAAAATCTTACTTTGATAACTCCACTTTTAACAGTAGTAGGACTTGAAAGACGAGAATTAACTCCAGATAAAGGAGTAGATCCTTGGAGAATTGTGCCCACAAGAGTTTGAGCTGTAGTTGTCACAGTTGCCTAAAATGAATATTTTTTTTTATAAAATTAAGTTATTATATTACCTATGATAAGAATTTCAATAAAGGAGTGCATTAGTTGACTTTCTTAAATCCCTTAACTACAATAAAAAATGAAGAGCCTACTTTTACAACAGTAATAAAATCTAAAACAATAAAATTTCCAATTATAACTAATAAAATATGCTACATTCTTTTACACCAATTTTCCTTTACATTATAGTATATTAAAAAAATATTATATTCCCCTAAAGTCCATATGCTTTTTATAAATTCTTGAAGAGTAGCAGCTATAGTTATAGAAGTGAAGCAGTGGCGTAGTGAGGGGTGGGCAAGGGGGGGTATCATGCCCCGGGCGCTACTCACAAAGGGGCACCAAATGGTCCGCAAAACAAAAAATTGCTTGATAATTTTTTTTTATTATAATTGATTACCGGAAAATATATTTTAAATTAGTGCCAGTGTAATATAATAAATGTTAATTCATAAATATTATTCATAATATTTAATTCATATTGTCACTTTAATAGTCTAAATCAAACTGTAATAATATATTCATAATAGAAATGGCACGTCTTTTCTACTGGCAGACCTGTGTCTGTCAGCACTTCCTTATGGCATCTACGCTGTGTGGTTACATAAATTATCTCATAATATGTTATAATAAATATTTGCAGTGCACAAAGTACAAACATTCTTTCAGAACACTATTTATTTTTATTTGTATAAACGCAATCCATCTTACGCATGTTATTTTAAAACGATAACAATAACACTCTAATGTACTTATATGTACAGTCACGGGAAAAAAGTGTCCGGAAAATAACAACTAAAGGATCGTCTATTTTTTAATATAGATACTTCTCAGACACACAACAAATACAGCGTTTTGTCGTTTCTAGGAAAGGACACAAACAACGCCGTATTTGTTGTGTGCCTGAGAACTATCTGTTTTTTTAAAAAAAGATTATTTGTTACTTTCCGGATACTTTTTTCCGTGACTGTACATATCCGTGACATTTGCGACAGGTTGTGGAATTCCGCTACAAGTTAGGTAAATACCC